ACGCCGACTCGCCGACAATGGAGCGCCTTCGCGTGGAAGCCACGGTAGGTGCAGGGCTCCCGGCGCGTCTCGGACGCGGCGCAGGACACGGTTCTCGCCCCGTCGGCTTTTCGGGGACGCGTCGAACGGTTGGAGTTCAGAGAGAAGTTATTGAAGTTACGTGAAGATATGTGAGTGCTCTGGAATCGCAAATAATTGCGTGTTCAGCCCGTTTATGTCTTCAGGAAGAATGTGGAAATACTTGTATTTATTACTATTCTTTTCTTTGTTGCTTATGTAGTTCGGTATTTATATCGACAGTTCTCTTCTGGATATTTGGTGAGTGTCTATATTCTGTACTACCACTTCCTCAGTATGTTCTACTAAGTTAGTATGTCTCTTTTTGATGATTCCTTTATCACGCCTACTGTGGATAATATTCGAATACACGTACTGTAGTTTCGTATTTCTCTTGCTCATTGATTAGAAAATTCGCGAAAACAAATTTGGTTCGTATAATTTGAATTCCCATTGAGTATATTGTTACTGAAATTTAGTTTCACTGACAATATAATTTTCGGTACTAAAATAATTACAAATATAAATTATCCTGGTAGGTAAGCTGTAACAATTTCCTCCCAAATTACTCTCTCGAATACTACATACATGATTTAGGTGATTTTATAGTAAAAATTCATAGTCCCCAATTCCGATAAAGAGGATAATTCTTATTTCAATGCAGTGTAGGAAATTACGTCCTCTAACATATGTAATTGGAATCCATGTTTTTTGGGCCCTTGATACAGAAAAATTGGTTTTCGGCAATACGTCTGTGAAGAACCCTATCGGCTTAACCGTACAGGACATTTGCCAAAATTATTCCCTGATCGATCTGGCTGTTACGGCTCTATGAATTTGAAACTAATATTTTAATATTTGGTTGTACCGTACATGACACCTTCTGGACATTGTCAGTTTTTTTCTCAAAAAAACCCTCCAAATTTTTATTTGCCTTTTTTATCGGATAGAGTAAAGTACGTTTATAGAAAGGACGAAATTCCGATTTTTGTTTAATTTTTCAAATTTTCGAAATTTGCAAAAGTTTAAATTTTTTCGGCGTTTTTGTACAAATTAAGTATTGATTCTGAATGAAATTTGATTCTCAAAATTAGAATTATGAATGAAAGCTTTGCGAGTATTTTGGGGGCAATTTTGCAAAAAATGAAGGCAATCTTCAAAAAAGTATCTTCTCGAAAATAGCTTCATTTTTTCTTTACATTTTTTGTATGGCTAGTGATAAAGACACTGAATAACATGATATCAACGCAATTTTGAGGTATACTTTTGATTTTACAAATAATTCTCAAATGCAAGTTTGTCATATACATTTTCCAGGTCAACAATATTTATATTACGGGAATAATTATGTTTTTTTATATCTTATAGCTTTTTTTAGTACAAGTGCTTCAAATTATCCTGAAGATACTCAAAGTTAAAAAGTTTTCTGTGAAAATGAATTCAAAATTGTGCATTTTCAGAAAAGCTCGAACGATATTTTCTCAAAAATTATTCAAAATTTGTCAATGAAAATTAGTAATGAGGACCTTTTCTTACTTTTCTATAATATTATTAAAGTCATATTTCAATTCTACTATTAGGGAAACGCAAAGTTGAGAAAATGTAAATAAATGTACTTTAAGCGGCGATAGCAGCTGGAAAGAGGGTCGGGCAAAACAGAAAAGTTAGCGTAGACTGCAGAAATTAGAAAAGTAACTAAAGTAATAAAAATTTCATGCCATTGTGTGACATCGCCAGTTTATTTAGCGCAAGTTTATTTCAAAATAGAACAGTTTGGAAAAACATTCCTGTAATCCTTTATTGGAGACTCACGGAAACTCATTTCGCGGATAGGTTTTGTGGAAGTTTCTCGAGTTTTGTGGAAGAAATACAAAAAAATATGTAATTACTCTTTCAAGATCACTTGAAATTAACAAAACTGATTCATGCTTAGATGCCCACAGGATTATTTTCTCACACTCCAGCGCCCACTTGTGGTTTCAGTTTCTTCGTATGTATCGCAAGCACCCAGAAACGTCTAATACTAGAAATGTACATTTGATACGAAATTATATTGCAGTTCATGAAAAATCGTAACAAAATCATGAAGGTCCGATTTCAGGTCAGTTTTTGAAAGTAATTTAATTTTGCCAAAATTCTCTTTACGCTTGAAATCTTCTTGCCAGGTGAATTTGGAAATTCTTGTTTTGTTCCCACAATGACCCAACTCCGACTAATTTCCATTCACGTAACTGTTCGGTAACTAATTGTCACTTTACTTAACTGTGGAATTCATCTGGAAACGAAATTAGTGTTTTTTTTCAGGAACTGTTATTCCATTTTTACTATCAAAGCACACCACATCTAATCACGTATGGCAGTCTCCCCCCCCCTCCCAAACTTAAGTTGGACATCACCTTCGCTATTAGAAACTTGTGTAGAGCTTTCCCGTTGGTAATAAAATCTTTACAAGAGTGCAAGAGATTTATCACAACGAAGATGTTTTTGTCTCTTAATACAAATGTACTACGTAATCGCCGTTGCTCGAGGCGTTATACAGTGAATAAGAAAAAATATCATGCAAAGTCGTAAAATCGTTTGTTTTTTTTCTATTAATTGTGCCATGTTCTCTCTTATCTCTAAACTCTTTATAAATAAATCAAAATAGTGATACTTCATCAGGAGCTACTTTCTCTTATTACTTGTATCGGTTACGTGATATAATATTACAATTTGTAACATACTAACTTCAGGCATCTCTTGAAAAACTCTCAACAAATGAAACGCGAGGATTCCAAAAACAATACATATTTTTACTTTTTTAATATTGTATTGTTTGAGGAACTGAAGAGTTTTAATAAATATGATTATTCTGCCATTCAATACATTGTGATCTATTCTCCCATTTAATTATAGTGACTTTTGACGTTTAGTTAACTGTGAACTTCTCTACCAAATTCAGAGGGAGAATTTCAATACCAAACATTTAGTCATAACGAAGCTTCCAATTGGATAATCGCATCCAACTGATAAAAATTCAGAAGTCATCATAATGAAATTGAAATATACAATAACGTCGGAGTCACAATAAAATCGGAGTTTTAAAAAAACGTTTGCTTCTTCTGACTCTTCAACTCTTATTAACATTCCAGCACGTTATTCACTGTTCTACCTACTACAACACGAAAGTGTTATTATTAACTATATACGAGTAAAAATACAGTTGCATTTGTGTCAACAAATTCTTTAATTATGTAATAATCTTGTAGTGGAAATACTAAAATGTGACATAGTTGAAAAAATTACAAATTAGTATTCGAAAATTGAAAAGTTTAAATCAAAGTGGAGTACACTTAAATAAAATAACCCTGCATTGAAAAAGATGAAGTTCTGAAATTTTCGAAATTTCAGGAGTTTAATGAAAACCGGATTTATACCTACGCACATGCATGCACTTTGCTCTATTCGAAAACTTTGCTCTTAGCAAAAAGAAAAAAAATGCCTTTTTTTAGCCAATTTTGAAAATGGTTTGGGGTCTTGAGATACAACTATTCTGAAAAAGTAAAAGATCCCTTTCAAATTTTCATGGTCTTGAGTTCGGCTTGATTGAGTCGAGAATATATTTTTTGTGATGTAAGCGCTAGTATTGTTTAGACAGCCTTAAAAAAAACTTTTTCCGGTGTCACTCCCAAAACACACATTATCATGAAAATTTCGACATTTTTTTCGCATCATTACGTACATTTCTCTGCACCTACTACGTATATATTACAGATTATTAGCATACAAGACATTGTATACTCCGATGACAGAACGTGTTACTGGGTTTGGCACCTCCAACTGGAATTTATTAATAAAGAAGTGTGACTCGAAAGATCGGATCCGTGTGAATTATTGCACTAATACGGCAATTGTTTCACGGATTTGTCTAAAGCATCTGTTTGAAAATGTAAATACAAATGCAAATGAGAGATAAGAGCTGTTCGTCAAATCTTGAAATAACAAAGTGTGTTAACTTCCTCGTCATTTCTGTATGTTCAACGTATCACTTCGTCTTTCCTTTTGAGTTTTTCTTTGTTTTAGCTTTCTTGGTGATGTGGAAATTTCGTGGAACATGAACACTATTTGCTAGCTGTATAATTGGCCATTACAAACGTTTTTCTCAAGTGCTGAAATCCCTGAAGTGTTTTTTACGAAAGAACGTTCGTGTTTCATATAAACTGATGTCTTCAAATTATGATTGTAAGAAGCAAAATTATAGGAAGTCACTTTTTATGTCACTAAAACTCTCAGTTCGATCAACGTCCCCGAGAGCTGAAAACTCTGTGGACATTGGCTTTTGAACGCTACCTACTACAAGGCACATAACACAAAAACGTAATTGTAGTGAAGTGAGTATTTCGTTTTTACGGGCGCGCCAACTTCTTTGGTCGTAAGTCCCGTAAGTAAAGTGCATGTTGCAGGCGGAAGCTATTCCTTCCCAACTGAAACATAAAATCCATAGCGGACCTACAGGACGGCTTGCGGGTTCTTTCCCTGCAGGTATTTAACAAAGCGGGTCACCCCCCCATCCAAAACAAGCTTCCGACCAGCCTCCGGAAATTAGTGTAGTACATGAAAGCATGTGTGTGTAGGGTAGAGAAGGGACAAGAATGAGGAAGGAAATATCGCCCGGTGCTCGTGACCCGTTTATTAGGGTACAGCGCCGATATTCGGTTGGTATTGAGAGGGAAACACGAGGGAAAACTACCGATTAGAGTATCCAGCCAATTCTCCGTGCCAATTCTCCCCCAGACAGCGGCTGAATTCGTCCGAGCTATGTAGCTCACGTCGAAAATCCGCCCCTGTCGGGACTGGAACCCTACGACCTCCTAGTTGTCCCACCGCCGCCGGCGGCAGAGAAAGCGCGGCCTTGAAGGACGAAAGGCGCTGTCTCACTGCCAGGGCTGCGCGTGCGGTTGCAGAGACGCGTTGCGATGGGCGACGAGGGCTCGAGCGCCGTCAAGGCCTTCTACCGCGGCGCCAACGTGCTGCTGACGGGCGGCACGGGCTTCGTGGGCATGGGCATCGTGGAGAAGCTGCTGCGCGTCTGCCCCGACGTGGGCACCGTCTTCCTGCTGATGCGGCCCAAGCGCGGCAAGTCGCCCGCCGAGCGCCTGCAGGACCTCGCCAAGAACCCGGTGAGTGCTTCGACAACACTTCCAATGGGGGGAGATGTATTCGTATTTAAGTGCACCACATTCACGAAATAGTGCTGTCACATTATATTTACGGCGCATGTAAATGTAAGCTAATATTTTATTTATTATATGGATAAACATTGGTGTATAGAAACCTAATATTTACAAATTTTGTATTGTGCTATTGGTATTACAAGAGCCAGGAAGTATAAATTGAAGTGTCTTCAAAGCTTCACTTTTTCAGTCTTCATTATTATTCCCAGATTTCAAATGTAAACAAAATCTATGTGTATAGACAAGTTACTCTAAAAAGGGAACAGTTTGACAGGTCGCGACACAAATTAACGTCATGTCGGATGATGATATTGCAAGAGGTAGTTTCGAAGCCATTTACAAGTGATACAATTGCTAACGAATAAATTGACGAATTGAGCGCTTGGGCATAATCTGTAGTTTTGCTGCCAGTAGTAGCCACGCAGAAGCTGTCAATACTGTCTCTTTGTATAATAATCTCTCTACAGTTGTGGGCTCACGTAGTAAAAAAGAATTTTAACTATAAAGAGACCATTACACGCTACTTCTTTCAATTCAACTAAGTTGACTCTTATTTATCTTGGGCCCTCACTTTATGGGTTGGGTTGTACTAAACGTTTCTGTGAGGGGGGAGTGCTAGTTAAAAAATGATATGAGGAACCACACTCGGAAAGCGGTGGCTAGAAAAAAGACGGGAGAGAGCGGTCAAAAGTTGAAGAGCTTGTTTCTAAGGTGACCTAGCATATCTTTTTCAGTTTGTTTTCTAATTTTACGTATCGTTATGTTTTTAGATTGCTCCTCAAATGCGATCAAATATTGCGCTTCTCCTATATTAAATGGCATCCGTGAACCGTTGAATTTAATCTTGTAATATAAGACTGACATTGAGTATTTTATCTTCCTGAAAATTTGTATTTCTAGGAGAGATGTCACTTTAGAAATAAGCTGTTCAATCAATATCCCCTTTTTGCAGGTCGCATGGATTATACTTTCATAAGTTCAGCGCTTCCGGTATAATTCTCTACCGTAAACGCACCCGTAGCATTTTGTCCCATTTATTCCTCGATGCTCTGATGCTTAAGTTACCTTAGAGCGTACAATAGAGTAAACTTTTAGGTTCTAGCATTAACGCCAATGATTATCTAAAGTCCGTGTCCAATATAAAGAAATAAGCTTAAGAAGGGACCAAAGTGAGAACTACTTCCTGGCTTCTGCTTGCAACTTAACTGAAGGTTTTGTCTGTTGGACAATTATGCCATTTGGGTTCCTACATTCGTTCGATTACAATTGGTTCATTTAAACACATATACGAGTCCTTCAGCTTTGACGCTTCATCATGCAATCTGATAGTTTAATGAGAATATAGTGTGCCAAAAATAATTGATATTAGGGCATGGTGTGCTATTTAGGCTTATTTAAAAATATATTTTTAAACCAAGAATATTGCACATTATTTTCGTGACAAACACTATTTATATTTCAAAACTGAGTTTTCCGTTCTACACATGATTCGCTATCATCAGTGACGTGTTTAAGGGAACATTGAACAATCATAAACGTTGTGTGAAGAGGGATGACTGAACAGCAATTCTTCTCTGAAGTAAACGTAGTATTCACTTGTTTTCCGAACTGTAATTTGGTTCTACTTATGCGTAACTCTGCTACACCTCAGCCACCCTGAGACTTGGCGCGGCTCGGGCAAATCGGTTGGTATTGCATCTGTTCGGAGAACTTCGGTCTGACAGCGAAGAAAGAACCGACCGCAGTATTCTGCGAAACAGTTTTGGAAACGTACTTGTGGCATTGTAGGTGATTCTGAAGACCAGACACCTGGGATCAATGTTTCTATTCAATCTATGTGACAGCGGTGGTGGAGAGTAGTGCCCCCCTTACTCCCCGGGGCTGATATGCACTGCGATGTCTGGCGCATCCAATACATGTTCTTGTTTCACTGCTACTGATTGTGTCAGATTTCTTTTGACGAAACGTACAATTCGTTTGTAGCTGCTCCAAATAATCTATTAGCCGTTCCTTATTTCAATAAGGGAAATGAAAGTTATATTTTTTTGCTTATTTTGTGGTATTACGTTAATGATTTAATTTCTACATTGTCTTAATGAGCACTTGAGATGATCCTGTGACGTGTCCTCTGATAACGAGACGCAAGTCAGTGACTTAGGAGCATAGACGTGTGCAGCCTGAAACAAGAGAGGGCGTCTATATTTCTGGTCTTCCTTTTCCATTCAAAAGGGGGGGGGGAATCAGGGATTAAACACACTTCCAAAAGGTTGTGGGGTCGCCGCCCGTGGGCCCGGAAGGGCGCGGCTGACGCGCGAGGGCGTGTGTGTGTGTGTGTGTGCGCAGCTGTTCGAGACGCTGGTGGAGATGCGCGGCGAGGGCGTGTTCGAGCGGCTGCAGGTGGTGGAGGGCGACGTGTCGGCCGAAGGGCTGGGCCTCAGCGCCGCCGACCGCGCGCGCCTCGCCGCCGCCGTCCACGTCGTGCTGCACTCGGCGGCCACCCTCGACTTCGACACGCCCCTCGCGGCCACCGTCAACACCAACCTGCTCGGCACCCGCCGCGTGCTGCAGCTCTGCCGGGAGATGACCAACCTCAAGGTGCGTGCAGGAGGCGCGAAGCAAAAGGGGATGGGGCCATCGAATGAATGCAAATGAGGACCTCCCAGGAATTATTTATTTATTTATTTATTTATTTATTTATTTATTTATTTATTTATTTAAAGTTAATAAGGTAAAAGCGGTGAATGAAAAAATTGAATGTTGGTTCGCATGGCTATGCCACGATGTGCAGACTTACGCTACATAAGACAGCAAACCTTAATGCAGGCATCTAAGAACGACCCAAGAATATTGTGTGTATAATGTTTGTCAAAATGGTGAGACGCATGTGCGGAAATGTACATAAGTAATGCTATATGACGATAAAACTTTACTTCAAGAAAATAGTTTTTTTTTTTTTTTTTGTTTTTTTTTTCACCAGCACTGCACTTTCTGGGCCGTACTTGGAAATAGCGTGTTCGGTGCTGTGAGAGGTTAATTGCCGAGTGCTCTGCCATGCCGGTGTCCGGCCTCCGCTGTTATCGCCCTGGCCACAAAACGTTGCAAAGCGTTCGCAGCGCGACCTTGCACAAGGCAGAGCCTTGTCGCTTCAGCCGGCGATGGTTCCGATGGCTCGCACGTTTTTCTAAAAGCGCTCATAATTTCTGAATTTAGGAAGAGAGGAATACACTGATTCTGTAAGAAAGTAGAAGATTAGATTGGCACTGAGCCTATAAGAAAGGAAATAACACTGCCCATATTTCCCAGACGCAAGTGTATAATTGGAGTTTTTAAAGCTCTCAAATCTCTTGATAGCTTCTTACTACATTAGGCTTAATTATTGGAAGTACGTGTGTAATTAATTTGATTAATTACGGGAAATTGAAAAACACTAGACTGACAACTGATTCCCTTCTACAGCTGTACAACTTGAATGCTTTCGAATTATTCAATTGAAATGACGTTATTAGAAAATGTGTGTTTTTGCGTTTATTTGTAGGCAATGGTGCATGTTTCAAGCGCTTACGTCAACAGCAATCGCACGGACGTTGAAGAAATTTTATATCCTATTGATCAAGACGCTGACAAATTAATCGAATTAACCAACACCATGACTGAACAAGCTCTGGAAGAATTAGCACCCAGGTAAGAAATAGGATTTACAATTGATATTTTCAAACAGGCTTTATTTCGTTCCAGTGCATTTATACAGCATTTATTTCTTTACTCTCCTTATTCTGATTAAGCCATTTATGAAACAATTTACGACATTCAAGAAGAAAACACGGTGAAAATATATCAATGTACAACTACAATTTCAATAATTATTGTTGAAAAATATTTTTTCTTGGACAACACGAGATACCTTTCATGTTTCATGAGCTTACTTTAGAAGCAGTTACCTAATCTACCTACTCGCCTAATTACAATTCCAACAGTTACAACACCGTTACATTACAGTTACAACACCGTCATTTTTGAAACACTTTTTGGGGATTCAAGAAGGAAACACGGGGCAAGTATGTCAATTTACACCTACAATTTCAATTTTTGTTTTAAAAAATGCTTGTTCGTCCGACGTTTTTGGGACAATTTGAGGCATATTTCATCTGCTACCTACTTGAGAATTATGAGAAATCCACGAGTGAGCGTTTTGAAAGTGTGTCATAACAGACATCTCAGTTCTCACTTTTTTCTTCTTGTACATACAAACTTCGTCCTTCCCTGTAGCTAATCGCGTGCGTTGTGCGTGATTGTTGAGGTATGAAGACATCTTATTTTTTCTCACCTTTTCTTTAATAAAAAAGCAAGGATTTTTCATGTCCAAGCTTTAATCTTAACTTAAACTAATAGTGCTACAACATCACATACTTTCTCGCATTATATATAAATTTGCAATTTTTGAAAATTTAGAATGTTGAACGAAATGAGACTCGCGTGAGAAGGGCTCTTAAGTGCCCTTCTTCTATTCGTGGAAATAAGTTGAAAAAAAAATTTCGAGCGGTTTTTGAGAAAATATTTTTTTACAAATTGCATTAATTTCAAGCCCAAATTATGCAAAAACTACTAGTTTGTTTTTGTTTTAAAAAAAACTGTACATGACGTCTTTTAAAGATCTGATCACTGTGTTACGAACTTGTCTAAGGCAAAAATCTCTACATCAAATTTTTAGGTTTTGAAATGTTCTCTTTTTTCCAATTTTCGAAAGTACACACAGAGCGGCGAAAATGAAACTAGCACCATATATTTGTACCGTCCCTTGATAGAAACGTTTAAAGTTTTTTTTATATTTTAAAATTGCCTATATTTCTCGTATAATTACGCGAAAACTATCCATATTTTGAAAAATTGTATATGACCTTATTTCAAGATCTGTCTTTAAAGATCGTATTTCATTAAGAAAAAATCTCTATTTTGAATATTATAGTTATAGGGAGACACCCAAACAATTGCATATTTTTAATTTTCGAAAAATCTGGGATTTTAATGAACATGAGATCTGTAAATTATGTTAAAGAAATTTAACATAAAATACACATGGCTGAAGCTGTTCTAAAAGTGTTCTGTATGAATATTAACTTTCTTTGCAAATTATGAAAATAATTTCAAAATAATTTTAAATTTGTATGCAGTATTTTAAAACAAAAATGACTAGATTCAACTCCTTTTCTATAATTCTGATTGTCACACATGTGACTGGTAAAATTGTCCAAAAATTACCTATCTTCTCTTGAATCCGAACGCTGTCAATGGGTCTGCCACAATGCTCAAAAGTAAATGACACGTAATGGCAGTAATGATGCCAATAAAGTTATAGTCTGCATTGAAAAATTTCACTCTCATATGCTTATTATCTACATTTACTTGGCCACATACCATTAACATTTTGTGATACATTTTCAATCAATATGATTCAACTGTGAAAACTTTCTGAAACGGAGGCAAAAATTGCTGGCCAAGTGAGCAGATCACTTTTTCATCCTCATAAATCATACTTGCCAAGTCATTATGGGGACTTTTTAAGATTTCCTCTATTTTGCATACTTGTTTACAAAATAATCATAAATGTCAATGAAAGGTTTCGTCAATATATTGCCCTCTGTTTCAATTTTTTCTTACAGTCTATGTGGAGATTTGCCTAATGCTTATGCTCTTACAAAGGCATTAGCAGAGCAAGAAGTTTCAAAGGAATGCAGTTCATTCCCATGTGCAATCGTGCGTCCAAGCATGAGTAAGAATATATTAATTTATATTGTTCAAAAAAAGTCAATATTTCTTCTGTAAATTTTCCAAATTTCACTTTTTCTTAGTGTTGTGAAATGAATTATACTTTTCAAAAATTAAGTTCAAATTATTTCAGTTGAAAACTAAAAATTGAAAGATTTTACTCCTTTAATAATTAAATTACTATTAATTATTTACATTATACATTTGTTCTTACTTAAACAAAAAATATTTCTACTGATATTCTAATTGTTACCTGTAGTTACAGCAGCTTGGAAAGAGCCTGTACCTGGATGGACAAATTCCAAAAATGGCCCAACTGGTTTTATGATGGGAGCTGCTAAGGGAGTTGTTCGCAGATTGCCTGTCTGCACTAAGCTAATTTGTGACTACATCCCTGTCGATGTGGTAGTGAATGAAGTCTTGGTTGCTGCTTGGTATGCTGCCACTGAAAGGTAAAATCATTAAAATACAAGTGCATTGAGAAGTAGGTTATTGAATATGTTAACCTCTCTATTCATACTAAATGGGATTGTAGGAAATATTAAATAAATCCCAATGATTAGAACATCAACAGATCTAATAAGTGATATACAATTTTCATAATAATATTCAAGGACCAATGCAATGTTTCTTAGAAATCACTAGAAAACAAATTTAATTTGAAAAACTTTTAAAAAGTTCATTTAAAAGGAGGTTAAGAAAGATTTAACTGATTTATGCAGGGGCACCCAGAAAAAATAAAAAGGTCTGGGGCAAAATATCTACAAGGCCCCTTATTTCGAACAAAAATTCCTCCCACTCCGTATGTACACAGAATTCATCTCTCCATCGAACAGAACAGAACAGAAATAACATACCAGGTTTAGTTTAAATGAGAAGTACATACATTTTTAATAATGTTTTGAAATAAATAAAATTGCTGGACCATAGGGCCTGGGCAAGTTAATCCCAGCTTCCCTCTCCCTTTCACCTTCAGGGCACCACTGAATTATGTACTAGGTATAATTCAATATTTGATAATCAGAAACTTGTAAATAGAAAGATAGCAATTTCCAAATAAACAGATGTTATACAAAGAAAATCTTCTGAATGATTTTTTAGATTACATATCATTTTCCTACACCAATTTAATTTCTTATATTTTTTGGAATCATTGGCTATTCAGTCTTGCAGTGTGATTTTGGCTAATGTGACCAGACAATTACATTACAGAAATAGAGATGATGTATTAATGGGTCATATATTGATTTCTCATTGCTTTTCACGTTACTGATGTGAAACATATTTTAAGCCAGCAACTGCTTCTAAATGGACCAGTTGATGTCATGGCAAATTAATAGAATGGGACTTATCTTTCTTTCATAAGTGATATCTTGCAAATATTACAGTATTAAAATAATTTTTCATACTGTATAAATGAAACTTTTATAAAAGGTTTTATTTCCACTTCACATTTATGGTTTGACATTCAATTATTTAGTTATTCTGCATTTTATTATTTTGAGAAGGAAAATTTTTTGAAACTTGTTACTGAATTTTTGCAGGTCAACTACTGTGCCAGTGTTTCATTGTACTTCATCAACCTGTAATCCATTCCGTTGGCAAACAGTTGAAGAACATGTTAACACATACTTGCACAGATTTCCATTAACTTCTGCAGTATGGTATCCATATCTCAAATTTTTACCTTCATTGATGATATTTCGCATAGCTGCATTTTTTGTACACATGATACCTGCTTACATCTTGGATTTTGTGACATTGATAGCAGGAGGTAAACCTATGTAAGTAGAATCTCAATATTGTCAAAAAAAAGTACTTTTCATTCTAATTTATTGACCTGAGATATATATTTAAGAAAACCAAAATGCACTTGCTGTTCATTAATTAATAAATATCAACTAATTAAGATATGTTGCACAAACTCTATTCAAACATCAAAACTCTTATGCAGAGTTTATCATGTTGTAATTAAATTCTGCAACAAAACAATATGAATTACTTTAAAAGTAATACTTGGAGAAAGGACTTGGATAAAAGCAGCTTGATTGAATGGATTTTAGGTATATCTTGAAATAATGAAGAATGTTGTTGTGCATTCAGGAGAATTTCGGTCTTTTTTCTACCCAACTACTTTGTGTTGATAAAACATGTGAATAATTAAGCGATGCCCAAAGTGCATTGAAAGCCAATTTTGAAATTAATAAAGTAGTCCACTCATTCAGTAAAATCTAAGGAAGTTCTGTACTTTATGGATTTCAGTATACTTAATTATCCTCTTCAATTTCTCAGATGCACATTTCCAAAACATAAAAATGATGTTCAGAATCTTATTCTGTTCAGAATCTTATTCAGTTAAGAATGGTTCAGTGTAATGTTTCTTATACACTGATATTGCTTTATTACTTTTCAGACTTGTCAAACTTCATACCAATGTAAACAGATCCTTAGGACGACTGGCACCTTTCATCTTCAATGAATGGCATTTCAGTAATGATAATACTCAACAGCTATCCAAAGCAATGAACGTTGTAGATCAACAACTCTTTTTTCTGGATATCTCGTCTCTACAATGGGAGTCATACTTCATCTCTTTGGCTCAAGGTGTGAGGCGTTACCTCAACAAAGAGCATCCCCGCTCTTTGAAAAAGGCTCAAAGAAAAGACAAAATGTGAGTAGCAATTTTAACAACCATTTTTAATTCATTTGCTCTGAAATTCTTTCACCACAATATTATTTTCTATTGATTGAGAAAATGATAGAATATTTTTAGAGGCTCTTGCATTTGGTCATTGCATACATAATATGCATTTCAGCATTTGGTCATCACATATACAATACCTATGTTAGGCATTGCTTCAAGAGTGAGAATCCCTGAAAATAATTAATGAATATTTTCTCAATAAATGGAAATTAATGACGTAGTCCTTAACAGTTTTCAAGTTTCACTTATAAACCATATTGACATCATTCTTTAAAAAGATTATGATTCTAAACAAGAAACTTTATGGGAAAAAAGAAAACCTAATTATAATTAAAACAAATGTCTGAAAGTGAGAATAAAAATATTGCTTTTAATGGGACTTTCAATTATTATATGAAAGAAAACCAAATATGATGAGTTATTTAATACATTTTAGATATGTGAGTGGTCTAATCTCAGTGTATATAAGATATTTTTCAACATTTCCATTTCAAGAATGAAAATGGAATAAATAACTTTTATGTTAATATTCATTTATTTCACTACTATTATTTTTCAATTCAAGAGTATCATGTATTATAAATAGGAGGAATTGGGGCAAGGACTAAGCACTTTGTTTCCCTGACACTTTTAGTTATGTTTGTTAAAATGTACATGTATAAATATATTTATTTAATCATAAATCAAATTATTATTACCTCTTGACAACAACAAACATTCAATTTTAAATGTTTCTTGCAATTCAATATTCTATTGAATTCACTTGAAATTATGTGTTATGACCTACTGGCGGAACAAATGAGTTATTTCAATAGAAGTGTGTCTGCTTTGGGGGCTATTTTTATTGTAACTACAGCAATGTGTGTTGTGTATGTATGTTCTACCAATATGGTTTGCTGATCAGATAATATATTTAAAATTCAGCACTGCAAAAACAAATATATGACAAAACTACATTTTTGTTCAAAGAATGTTGTACTCAGGTGTTTGTAGATGTAAAACATTTAAACAAATTCTCATTATTTTTTTTTTTTGCAGTCCATTTTTACTAGAACACTAAAAATTTATGGGTGAATCAATGCAAGATCCCAATTTTTCAATAGAAACTCTTTTGTAAATGTTATTTTATTTACTTTTTGTGTTTTTAAACTAATTTTCAAGGCACTAAATATCAATTTCCTATAAATAACATGATATGTGGAAAGATATTGCAAAATAAACTAATTGAATTAACACCAACACTGGGTCACACAAAAAATAGATTAATTACTTAACATGTGTTAAATATAATAAAGCAAAAGTATTATGAAGTACAACAAATAAGAGGAAATACTGTTAAAAAATCAGTGTCCATCCTTGAAAGTGAACCAGTTGCAAATATGTAAAAAATTTCTTTGAAATAATTTTTTTGTTTTGAGAAACAAACTTAACTTCAGAACAATAAGTAATGATATAAGTGCATACTATGATGCCCATTTACCATAATTTGTTCTTATTATTTTTATTCTTGTTTCATAAAAATTAATACAAATATTTTCATTGGAATTAAAATGTGGACTGGTCATCAATATTATTAGTCATTGAGTTTGAAGTCGTACTTTTGGGTTTCTCCTTTCTCAGTATGTTGTGATTTTAATTACAAATGTAATTCTGACAGATTGATTATTTAGCTAAAAAATAGTCATTTGTGCGCAGAATATTGTTGATATTTCACAGGAGAACTGATTGATTGTTGTAGATTGTTGGTGCTACACATTCTGCTTCAGCTGCTGTTGTGTTTCTCTGTTTGGTGGCTTACATCATGTGCCACTGCTTCTCCAGTGAAGGCATCTGTGGTTGCAGTGGTGGCATATTCGTTGTTTAGTCTTCTCTAGAAAAATATATTTTCAATATCACAACACTGAACAAATATATTATTTTGTTATGGAAACTTGGAGGATTATCATGCTATACAACATGTTCTGTATAGATCTTCATAAATCTGATATATTTGAACAGTTGCCTTGCAGTATACTGTGTGTTGTACCTTAGTTTTTATTCCTTGCGGCATGTTCATTCTTGCTCTAAGTTAACATAAGTTATCTCTTCAAATTATTAAAAGTAAAAATTTTGTTGTAAAAGTACATTTTAATTTCATGTAGTATTGATTTTAGTATGTTTTGTGCAACTGTGTGAAATATGTAGTAAGATACTGTATTAGATGGTGGAATCATAACAAAAACATTTTATATTTGTTTTTCATATTTGTAGATGTCTCATTTGCTAGAAAATAAAATATTTTCAAGTTAAATATATAATTTATTTCTCACTGCTCAAATCTCATAATGTTAACGATTCATTGTACTTCAGGACAAAGAATTTTAGCTCTAAGGTGTGTAAAAAGAGAATGTTACCTCTTATCAAGGTCCAAGAGGCTCCATTTTGAAATTGAAATAGGATATTACATAAACCTAAAAATTGATTCTAAGAACTTTGATGATAAACCTTGCAACTTGACGAAAATGAAAGACTGGTCTTTTAAATTCTATTCAGGTAATAAATCATGCCTGGAACCAAAAAGTATTGTTTAAGAAATCAAAGCATTGTCTAGATTTCATTTCTTATAATGTCAGTTGTATTGTGTCAATCTCCTCACCTTCCTACAGTTTTACTTAAAATACCACAGGTACTTGTTCTAAAAACTTATAACTTCTCTTAAATTTTTGTTGTGAAGAAATGAGTTAAACATTCTTAAGACTTATTTATTTGATGCTTAGAAAGTTCTCCTGATATTCTTTCATCTACTGAATACTTTATAAGAGGTTGTTAAATTAAATCAGTTTTATGTACTTTAATTTTCAAATCTTATTGTTTCATATTAGGTAATAATTTAGAAACCATCATCTTTAGAGGCACCTTCTTATCTTCTTTATCAGATTTATTTTTTCTCTGTTGTTGTACTTATATTCTGTTATATTAGCATAAAAACCAAACTTTTACTTAGCCTGCATTTACTGTCCCAGAATGGCTGACTTCATATGTTTAGTCTGCAATAGGTTGATTTTTACCTTGTGAGCTTTTATTGATCATGGAAATTATGCCTTCTAAGCGTCATTCAATAATATTTTCCTAATTAACTGCATGAATATCTCTCAGCTTATTGATTTTATTTATCTCTTATATCTAATATCAGCTTTACTAAATACTTGACCATATTCTTGAGCAGTACTCTTTTTCTATCATTGTACTATCTGATCTTATTTATTTCAGTGTTATTCATAATATGTATTGTATTCAGTGCATGTCTGGTAACATGGTTAACATCTCTTTTACTGATTCTACCTGATAACCCTTACTTTTCTCGTAGCAGTGGGTTTCATTTTATGCTAAAATCAATCATTTTAAGACCATTCATATTTGTGAGCTTTGAAAGATATCCAATGTATTATTTCATTGAAAATGTATCATTTATAACTTAAAATGCTCGTAATGATACCATTGTGTTCAAACTTGGCTGAACTGAGCATGTAGAGAGATTTTCCTTCACTGAAATATTCGGCCAATTCACTTTTTTTTAAAACTTGGTTTAAATAGTTTGCTTTTTGAAGTTATGCTTCCTTTATTTATTCCCTCATGAATCATTAGTACTAGTAGAAGTTTTCATTAAGAAGTTTTACTTGAATCAAATTGAACATTTCTTTTTAATAAAATATACTCTCGTTGAAAATTGCAACAAAAAACAACAACAACAGTTTTTATATAGTATTAGATGTATAAATCATGAATATCTTGTACTTAAATGTGATAGTGGTGTTAATAATGGTTCAATTACATAAATCGCTTAGGTTGATAGAAACTTAAAACAATGTGATTTTATTGCTCAAGCTGATGAGATTTAATGTATTTCCCAACCTGTTATGAAGTACTAATCATGAAAAAAGGTTTAAAGAAATATGCTTCTCACTGAATTATTTCAGGGACGAATTGAAGGACAAATTTTGGGAGGGGGAAATTAAAAAAGATTTTGGTTGAATATGTCATTACCACAAAATTCTGATGACATATCTTTTCATTGGTATATTGTAGACATAGCTAACTTGTAAATGAATGTTTATCACACCATATAGGTGGTAGAAATGTATAGTTATTGAGTAATTTTTGTCATTTTTTGACGTTTTTTGCCATTTTTCAATTTTTAGATCATTTTTCTGGACATTTGTGTAATTTTTATGCATTTTGTTTCCTTTTTTTTGTTAGTGAGTGTTTCATGAATTGACAATGGCACACTAAAACAAAGATTTTATAATATCATCAGATTGTGACAAAATTCCCTACTGAAGTGGATTTAAAATTGTTTTAAATTTCAAAATTTCACGGATCTCCGAGAACTTCCTTGACCTTTCAAAACAGACAGTTGGAAGATCGGAGCTAAGGATTACATTTCCTCCTAAAATAAAAACTTTTATATTAAATATAATTTTATATGAGCAAATTTTATTTAACATTGAATAAATAAACATATTCAAAATATTTATTACAAATATTTTAGTATTTTTAAAAAGAGGTCATTTCTCTTTATTTTGAAGAATTTTTATAGGTCATTTATCTCCTATTTTTGAGTCATTTTGTGAGTCATTTTCAAAGAATTTTAGAGCATCAGAATCCAAGCCCTGGTCATTACAGATTTTGTTAAATGCTGTAGGCTACACTCAGCTCATGCTGTGATACAATTTTATTAGTTTTAATGATTATCTGAAAATATTTGTGCTTGAAAGTTTTGTAACAAATTAAAATTAATAGTTACTGAAAAATTTCAGGAGGTGAAATTTCCCTCATTTTCTTCACTGTGGTTCCATGCCTGATTATCTTCATCTATCGGGAAAATAAAAACTAAAGTAGTCAGTCCCTATTAAAACATCAACCCATTAGTTTCTTATGCAAAGAACATTCCAGAATATTTATTCAGATTATTTTAATGTTAATGGTATTGATATAGGAAAGACAACAACAAAGAAATTATAATTGGTGCATTTACCCACCAAAAAAATTTGAAAGAAATGAAATGATGTAGATTGGCATGGCCAAATACTCAGAACTCTCAGAAAACTCAGCCATCTGCAGTGACTTTCATTGGATTGCAGAAGATAGAACACAATCTGAACCTTACTTGGCCCCTTCCTCCTTGACAAGGTGCTCTCTGTTAGACACCCTCTGCAAGCAGCATCTACTGTTAGCATAGTAGTAGATGATGGTGCAACCTGGCTGAAAAACTTTTGTATGAATAAATCATTGGTCTGCAACGTTTGTTTTCCGCTTTTGATATATCTTTGAATTTCTCTCTTTATTTACTCTTCAAGTTAATTTTTTTTTAAATGGCCATAAACTCCACATCACAACTCAATGTAAAATAACATGTTTTTAATTTAATGTTTATTGGCTCTATTTACAAAATAATTAAAGAAAATATATTGAGTATTTTACAAAATGTATCTGAGGTTCACAATATTAAATTTTTTCCATTAGTCTCTCTATTGACTAACACCGTTTCTGCGGATAAATCTATTGTTGTTTAAGTGCTATTGTCTAAAAAAGCTGAAGTAAATATTTAAACAACCTAAATTCAATTCAATTAGACCTCATATGGGAACTACCCAGAAAGTGTATCCAGTATCTCACCGGTCCGATTTTTCATATAATGAAGGATATTAGAACAGGAAAAGTTAAATTTATTCATGTGCTGATGATAGCATTCATACCGCTAGTGAACTAGTTGATGTTTTCATGCTGAAAAGAACGTAATGCAATAAAACTGGCAACTGGCCGAGACGTAGTTGTAGCAAAGACGAAAGTATTTCCGCGTCGGTTGTAGGTTGCTCCTCAGGTAACTATGGTAACTCTCGTCCATCCAGGGTGAAAAGAAAAGGAATAAAAAGAAAAAAAAGAAAAGCAGTCACAAGGAATCAAGGGAGAGTGGTCTTGTGATCCATATACTGTTTGTTCGTATCTTTGTTCTACATGGGGAGGGAACAGATATTCGCAGTCCGTAACGCCGTTCCGGTCCTGTTTTTTAGGAATCTTTTGTTTTAGTGATTTTGCGATCTGCTAAAGTACAAAATGGAACATTTCCGTGAAATTAAAAATGTAGGAGTGCTCCGCCAGGTTCGCTCCAGCGCTGGCCGCTAGGGAGCGGGCGGGTTACGTCTCGTTGTGCGTGCGTGCGTGCTCCTGGCGCAAGCGCGCCTTCACACGGCTGAGCAAAGCGCGCCGCCGCTGCAACTCCTCCAGCCACACGCCCTCTGCAACACACACGCAAAGAAAATTAACACGAAATCCCTGGAGGATCCAGAGATTTTTTCTTGTTTGTCAAATTTAATGTTTGGTCGAAAGTGTCGTACTACAGATTATGTAGAATGACGCAGGCTAAACGCACCTCATATTTGCGAGACAATTTGATTCGTTTCAATGTTTATACGAAAAAATATTTTCCATAAAAAGTTTCGTGACAAATGTCCCTTATTTCCCTCCCCGTGGATCCGCGCCTGAGGAAATGCAGTCCACTCGGGGTTGAGAGAACTCGTATTCACTGAACTTTCGGCTATAAAACTCAACCTCTGATCTCGAACAGTATACATTATTTCGTTATAATGAGCTCTCAACATAGGTTTTTGTTAACATAGTAAGTATACTTTATTTCTAGAGAAAAAAATACGCTTCAATTCACATAACATGACGGGTTTGCTAGTAGGGGTTCTCGTGTGTTATTTTTGTAACATATATGGTGAATGAAGGGGATTGAGAGACTAGCGACCAAGATGCTTCAGCTCTTTAATGGCAGTTCTGTCCGGCCTACACCTGACACCGTTGTCCAGCCTGAAGCCTTCATGAACGCCAGCAACGTAAGTTCCATACGGACCCACAGGACCATGTTCGGGATCCCGTGCTGTTCAAGTCCCCAAATTCAAGACGAAATAATACATCTTTGGCATAAAATTGTGTCTGAAAAAAACATAAAAGAAATATTTACTAGGCTGTCCGGGTGACGCCGCGGTGCCGACGTAAGGCATTACGCCCTGAGGAAGGTCGCAGAATGGCGACCGAAACGTCGGCACCTTAGCCATGGACGCGGCGTCACCCGGACAGCCCAGTAAATACTGACTCCGGCCGCGGAAGCCTACGCTCTCACATAAAAGAAATAAATGAAGCGCCGTGTTTTCTGAACACAACGCAAAACGTATCAAAAGTTGACCATCTACGAAACTTTACGACATGTAACCATCGGGGAAAAATGAATCCGACAAACTGATTAAAATTAAAATTAACGAATCTTTCATAGGATTTAGGGTTGTCAAATATCGATCAGCACAAGGGTTGCATTTGTATATTGTCGAACATATAAAGAAACGAAGGATTGATTTATCTAAACGTGGGGGTCAAGAATATAGTGGGGCAGCAGTTTTGAGTGGAATTTACAGTGGTGTTCAGAAACAAAATTAGATAAATTTGACAATGAGTTGTTTGTGCGTTGTACTGCTTATAATTCAATTATTGTGTTTAATGATGCCATGTGTGGGATATTGGAAGTTCAGATATTTGAAAGTCTGTTTGCTGGAACGAATATATGTTTTCTTTGGTCATAGCACTATAATAATAAGACTAGTAATAATAATAATAATAATAATAATAATAATAATAATAATAATCGATGGAACATAACTGTGATGAATTTAGATAATCACAGTTTTGAGTGGAATCAACTGCGATGAATTTAGATAAAAAGCCAAATTATCTTACATTAAAAGGACTTTGGCCTACGTGATGGTCATTACAGAACGATTCCTTAGTAGGTAAAAATATTTGGAAATTTTAATGTTTTGCAATGTTTAACAAAATACACATTGAGCCGGCCTGGATAGGGCCGTGGTCGCTAAGGCTGAAGAGTCGTAGCTGCCTCGTGCCTGAAGGTTCGAAGGGTCCGAATACCGCCCGGGGAATGGATGGATGTGTGTGTGTCCGTTTACCGTTTCCGTTATCCCCAATGTCATATACAATGGTCGCTATATGTTCTTAGTAGATGAAAAACGACCGAAATAAGTAATACAAATGTCACATTTTCTAACAAATTGTGTGAAGTAAACAAAGCACGTAATTAAAAAAAATGAATATTTTAAATTTGTTTTCCATGTTTACTACTCTTCAAAATACTAACAGTAACTGACACTGTTTCGAAATACGTTAAAAACCCTGATTTGAATTTTCAAAGGGTACAGAATTTACTCGATGGAAGAATTGAAAACTGTTCGGAATCACTATTATGATTTGAAAAAAATCCAATAAAATTATCCACCGTCTGGATATATAATCACAAAATTATCTGGGGTTTATAATCACAAAATTGTCTTAATGACATATCGTTAATTAAGAGGCCCCCCTGTTTTGTCAGTCCTGGGGCCTCATCTGTTGAACTTACGCCACTGACGGACGCTGCCCACAAGAGAAAACTAGTGAAAACCTATCTTCAGTCCGGTTAGAGCCGCTGAGGCGAACGCTTCGTGTTGAGGCAGCTCTTATCTTCTGACGTGCCTGCCGCTCAGAGGGTAGTTCGTGCTTATCGCAGAGTGCGAGGATAAGACCCGGGGCAGCCGGTGCCGGGTCGAAGGTGGAAAAGTGTACCTAAAACTCTTTTGTTCAGATTTGTACTGATAGTGAAATTATAATTACTAGTGAAGTGAACCACATGTTAAACGACAATGTACCCCTAGGGGGACATATCACTAGGTCAGTGCAAATATTAAACAATGAAAATGCAGAAGAAATTTATATTGACGTGCTCCCGCAACTAAGGAGGACAAATTCGCAAACAATCATCAATACGAGCAACTATTACAACATGAAGTATCACAAAATCAGCTTCAAGAGCAAATACTGCAAAACCAAATGCTACTTTATCAAATCCAGCAACGCGAGCTTCAAGACCAAGGTAAGAGATTAAGCGAGCCAGCTGTTCACACCCCTGCGCAAAACAGTTAAGACACTTTGCTCCCGGACAACGAAAACAAGAAACGAAAGCTTTCGGATAACCAAAACACCAAGTTAAGTGAGAACAATAGCAACTCAATGGAATATAATATACCTACTCACTCAAGGTTCACTCCGCTCGGTGAAGAAGATGAAGTAACAGAAACGTCAGTAGGTACGAAAGAAAACAGTATTAAAATTCATCCAATATTCGTTCATATGGCTAGCAACGAGTATTTAACCCTACTACAGCACTTAAATTAAGCTACAATAAATGACTTTCTAACTAAACAAAATGGCGAGAACACTTAAGTAAATTTCAGTGAAATCAATGACTTTAGAAAATTTAGAAAATACTGTGAAGAAAACAACATCGAATTTCACATGTATCGTGACCCAAGCAGTAAAGTGTTATCTGTTTTAATAAAAGACATCCCGACATGTTACACTGAACAAGATATTATACAAGAACAAAAACTGTTTAACAGAAATTCACCTCATACCAGGTGAACATTTTTAACACCCAATTTCAAAGTTTATGGTAATGATCGAATTTCAACAAATGATTCAGGCGGAGTAGCAATTTTATAAAAAATATATTAAGCATTGTCAAGCTCCTGTTTCGCACTCAGCAGACTTAGAAGCAATAGCAATTAACATTAGTTGCAATAAATCGGAAGTAGTTATCATTGTAGCATATAAACCATCTAACAAAAACTTTCCAACAGAATACGGCAAAATATTTTCTCAATATCCCCGATGTATATTTATGGATGACTTAAATACAAAAAAACAGAGCCTGGGGCTGCAATGTGACTACACATCAAGGTGCCAAACTGTTTAATCTCATTAACGCAAGCGGTCACAACATTAGTATTTATGCCCCTATAGAACCCACCCTCTACCCAAAAGATCCAAACAAGAGAGCAGACATTCTAGATATAATCCCAAATACCTTAAAATACCAAAAGTATTACCTCACCGATCTACCAGAAAGTAGTATCAGATTTAGATTCTGACCATTCTCATATCCTTGGGATCTTCGACACACTCTTTAGAGAAAATACCGAAAGAAATCAATGGTAAAATTAACTGGAATCATCTTCGTGACTTAATAACTAGCAGTTTAACGTACCCATGTAACATGATCTCAACTGAAGACATAGATATTGAATTAAACAAACTCACTAACTGCATAAAACAGTCATTAAAATACGCGCATATACCTTTCTATTAGATAACCAGAAAGTCAAATACGACACTGCCTAAAGAACTTCTTGACCTAAGTGAAAAGAAAAGAAAAATACGACGTATTTGGCAATCCAATAGAAACACTAACAATAAACGAGAACTAAATCACATCTCAAAAATTATCAAACAAAAAGTAGTCGACTTCAGATTTTCAAACTTCCATAAATTTCTAAGCCAACTTCACAAAATACCAGACCACTACGGAAAAGTATGACAAAAGAACGAACAGAGTTGACGCCTTTAACGAATAACAGTAAGATAGTACACTCAGACACTGAAAAGGCGAACGCCTTAGCAGAAAATCTAGAAAGTGTTTTCATCCCAAATCCCATAGAATATCCCACTTTCAATTCAGAAGTACAAGACTACATGAAACTACCTACGTACACTGCCCTAACAAAGATAAAATTCATTTCTCCTTCAGAAGTGGCGAATATCATTAAGCTTTCAAAGAGTAGAAAAACTCCCGGGTACGACGTCACTAACAAAGTGTTAAAAGAACTTCCTCAACAAGCAATAGCAATAATAACAGTGATATTTAATGCATTGTTAAGAATAGGATACTATCCGATATCATGGACACGGGCTGTTATACTTCCATTCTGCAAACCAGGCAAAAACCCAAAAATTCCAAGCAATTACAGACCTATTAGTCTTCTCCCTTCTATAGCAAAAAGTTTTGAAAAACTTGTTTTAAATAGACTGCAAACATACTTGACAAAAATTAATGCAATCCCCAACACCCAATTCGGCTTTAGACAGAAACATGCAACTACCCATCAACTGCTGCGACTTGTCGAGCACATAGTAAACGGTTTTAACATTAAAATGCACACAGTAGCTCTCTTTTTAGTCTCACAGGCATTCGACCGAATTTGGCACCAAGGATTATTGTACATACTACAAGAAATTTGAAAACCTGATTATCTGCAGAAACTAATTTGAAGCTTTCTCTCAGATATTTTCAAGTGAGGGTAAATGATGCTAAGTCACCGCTTTACCCAATTCTCGCAGGTGTCCCACAAGGTTCGGTTCTTTCATCAACACTATTCTCAATATTTACAGCAGACTATCCAACTCCACACGAAGCAAGTGTATTAGTGCAACTCCACACGAAGCAAGTGCTTTTTATGCTGACGACACCGCTATTTTCACTTCACATGCAGATATAAGCTTATCCTACGATTGCATACAATCCTACATTTACAGTTATAAGAACCGGACCAAAAATGGAGAATTAAAATTAACTCCCTAAAATCATAATCGAAAATATTCACTCTCAGACGTCCTCCCTTCCCTACAGCCCTGCGAATAAATAACACTGATGCCTCCTGGCTTTCTCATTCTTCGCCAGCCAAATACCTAGGTGTCTCACTGGACAAACGACTAACGTGGAAACCGCACATTCACTCAACAGCCCATAAGACACGTGACAAAGTTCTATAGCAATACCCGTTTATCAACAGAAATTCTACCTTCAGTATAGAAACTGGGCTACTCATTTATAAAATGATAATAAGACCAACAATGATATACGCATGTCCAATATGGCGCAACATAACACCAACCAATCTATCCGTTTCACATACAATCCAAAATAAATATCTAAGACAAACCTTGAAAGACCCCTGGTTCATTTCAAATCCACAAGTCCACCGAGAGCTTCAAATACCTCTCCTCTCAGAATTCATCTAGCAAACCTATGAAAAATATTATTCTCCTCTCAGCATGCCCCAACACTCCAATATTCAACCTCGGCAAAAATCCACATTATCAATCACGCATTAGATCCAGATTCCCCAAAGATCTCTTCGCCCACCCTAATTCATAAAATTATTTGCCCCCTTTTTCCACAAGCACTCTCCCTCCTCCTCTAAACCATAAATGCAAACTTCTCTTAGTGAAGAATCCAAACATGATTTTTTTTTAAATAGTGAAAAGTTATTTAGAGATCCGCATTTGTCTGAGGATGGCCAAGTAAAGTCATTGTATGTAACACCCGTCAAAACCCCCGAAAGACAACAGTCGAATGGGAAGAAAATAAACAAAAAAAAAACCTATCTTGATATAGTACCGTGAATCGTGTGAAAGGGTCTTCCAGATCAGAAGAAAACAAGCACGATGTTGGCGAAGATACTAAAATACAGAAAGTACAAAAATAGTGCAACTGGCATTTAACCAAAACATCCAGTTTGGACAATGCAAAATAAAGTGTGAAAACTTTAAAGATATTGAAATTGTGAATTCAGCGAGTGGGTATTTTACGTGCCTTTGAAATAATAAAGTCACACGTAGTTGACAAACTGAACTAGTGTATACGGGATTAACGGATATAATAAACTCTGAAATAGTGAACCACAAATGTTAGTCAACGTTTCTTTTTACAGGACTGTAGTTCCTTCATCAGAGGATTAATAAACAAGCAGCTTAAGCATGTACTTAGGAACACCGCCAGTTGGGGCCTCTAATGATTTTTTGAACAAAATTATAATCGTTGATGAATGTTACAGAGATTTTAAAATTATATTTTAGTTTCAAAAATTCATTTAATTTCACATTCATGCTGATTACTTCTGATCAGTTTATGAATATTATTCGGGGGCGTAGATTGGTAATACCGATGACTACTGAAGACATTCTCCGGCCCTGCCTGAAAAATATGTTATTTTATTTTCTATACAATTCGTAAATGATATGCTACGGTCCAGAAAACTATTGTCTGCATGTATTGGGCACACTGGAACTCTTGGGACTTTTCCACAAAACGAAAGGAGACAGTCTTCGGGATGTCACTATTAAGAAGAGATGCGAGTTATCCTCCCTTGAAAATCATTTAAGTTCATTTCTATTTACTCTGCTTCTGTGAGCAGCTTAAAATTGCAGATGATAAATCTCAGAACGGGATGGAAGAGACAACGCATGAGTATGGCCGCCGTCGCTTCAGATAGAGCATCCGGTAGTGGTTTGTAAAATCCCGGATCCCTAATCACTGGTTGACCACATCTCTCATTCTCTCTTCTCAAGACGTGTACCATAGATAGCGGCTTTTATATTTGTCATGCCTTTTTATATTCTAGCAATGATTTCTTTTAAAAATTAGAAGCAAAATTCGCAAGTTTTGCAATGGAAAATGATGAAGAAAGAAAGCGCAATTACACATTTCCGGTAGTTATAAGAATGGGGCTTCATGATTGCGATTTCATATTTACTTTCCAGTATACATACCTATACATGAAGTAACATACGTAGTATAGAGAAAGTTATGTAATGCTGCGAGAAAAAAACGGCGGATTTTCTGCAGAAAAAATTCATTGCCGGGCCCTGATAACGAAAAAGTAGATGAATCTAGTTGCTAAATTAAGAAAAGAGATCCTCTAAGACTTGGAGTAGCCAGAATTCCTGTTTTGTAGGCCCTTGATACCGAAAAATCAATTGACAAAACTTTCATCTATTCGTCGCCCCCTGTAAACACTACTAGCGCCTAAACCATGCGTAGGATTTTTCCCAATGTGATGGTCAAATACATTAATATCCTTTTAATGTACAAAGTACATTAACATTCATGTACAGTCGTACATTAAAAAACGTTGTACAGTAGTACAACAAAAAAAACGATGGTTTGGAGCAGTGGATCCCTCATTTCAAACAAAACATTATTTCCTCCCCTAAATCATAAACAGAATTCATTTCTTTATGCATCAAAAATTACTGGTGGCGTTCAATTTGGATTAGAGATAAATACATTTTTTAAAAATTTGAATGAATAAAAAAATCTTAATCTAAAATTCATCTGAACTCCATACCATTGTCTGGAAGAAATAACGTTTATACGATAATCAATATAAAATCTATAAGCCGTTTTATATCACCAACAGTTCAAATAGCTAATACTGCTAATTGTATTCAGACAGCTTATTGTGACCATCTGTCAAAATCATATTAGTTAATTAGCTTTAAATATAGAGTTAAGTGTTATTTACAAAGCAAATTACGCTTAAATATCACATATAATCTCATATAATTTGTTTGTCTTCCCCCGATGCCAATGTGACTTTCCTAGAAAAGATTGGAAACAAATACATGCGGTCGTTTTTCACGAATGATTTGCTCCTGGATTTGTAAAAGGGGAATATTGCGATCAATGTGGATTTCTTGTTTTAAGGATATGCTATTGAAATAACTGATCTGTATGAGAAGATTGCTGTTGTGAAAGCAACACTGTGCGGGAATTGTCGCTTAGTTAAGTATTAAACGTAACGCTCACTTTGGTGTACCAGTTCTCAAGAATGGAGAAATCGTAAGTAAGACCTGAAACAGAGAAGCCAATGTCGTAAGAACTGGGCAATGCTACCGACAGGCATAGGTTGTAAAAGTATCTGAGAGAAAGGCTACTATTATGCCACGTCATTTATTCCGGATATTTCTAGATTTACCTACAGTGTCTTTCTTTAGAGTATCTTCATGGTATGGCTTAACGCTTAACGACTCTTCTTCCTTTTTCATTTAACACCTGCCAACGCAACATCATTTAATGCCACTGAGACTACTTATATTTAAAATAATTAAACCCGGGGTCGTTTACTGCCCGTTACACCAACAATTTTTATAGTTTTCACAAGATTACCGTCGTATCTTTATTACTAATTTCCAACATTGCAAGAAATCTGTGCAGCCTCTGTCATCTGAGAGATGACTATGATTTCGTTAGATAAGAAAGGAACCCGGGAAAATCCACAAACAATGAAACAGTTTCGATTTTAACTGCAAAATGCAAATATTTTATTGTGTTTTCCTTCTATTCTCATACTGCACATACCGACTGAATTATCTTTACGGAATTAGTGCGGTATTAAATATTAACTATTTACGTTTTGCCTTTTGGAACAGTAAATATTTTTTTTATTATTCGTGTGTAAAGAAATGTTGTGTGCTATGTCTGTACTTTATATATACAGATATATGTTACATACTATCTGTTCTTGGCTGGAGAGCCCAATATGAGCCTTGGCCGACCAGCGGTAACCAAGACTCTCGACCATGGAATATGAGATTCGTGTGGTTAGCACGAAGACATCCGTTCATCGTATATACTGGTCTTATTAACCTTAGAGTGGGCTTTCTCCTCGTCACACAGCAATACTCTACTGGAAAATTTGTAAGGAAAGCGCACAGTTATAATTTGCCTCGGCCGGAACTTGAATCGGGGTTGCGCCATGGAAAGCGAGCACGATAACCAACCAATCACCCGAGAGGGTTATTATACACTACACGACACTACAGTGTAATATATCACATTGTAGAGTCCAGGCATGTTGCAGTATTCTGAAGGTTGTATTTGTTAAAATAATTAATTTATTGCAGTGTTATACGAGAGTATTTTTGTATTTCTTGAGCAGTGTGCATAGTATTGACATTCATGGGTGGGTTTAGGGATACGGTTTCCAATCATATTAAAAGCAATTATTTGGAATACTTATCCTAATACGAATATATAAAAATAGACAAGGAAACAGAAGAATTTTAGACATATGTAGAGTTGTAGTGACTTTGATGTACGTGCTTTATTCCCTGAACCATTACTAATTTACAGGGCAGAGAGAATATAATTATGTTTTTTTTTCTGTTTCCTTCCATATTTGGAATTTCTTTTTCATAATTAGCATAATATTCATCGAAATATTATATTTAATCAATTTCTCTGGCGTTCTTCAATAAACTGTAGACTGCATGTTCGAAGGAATGTGAATTATCAATTCGTTTTGTTTTCATTGAAATCAAGTAGGTGTGTTTCCACACGTTTAATTGATGTACAAACGCGTACAAGTGTAATAAAATTAAATCTAGTATCATCCTGGTTGCCATATTATTTTCTACTTAATATTCTTATGATAGCCGCTCATACTTTTGTTCGGGACGCACAACATATCGTGTTTCTTCTGAAGAATTCCAAACGATTTTCGGCACTTGAAGAATCCTTTAGAAGTCCGTAGGGTCTCTCACCGACTTGTCGGACCACTCTCCAACTCCCGCTCTCGCCGCTAGAGCACCATCGCGGCACCTGCCCTATTTACGCTCCGTCTGGAGCTGAGTACGGGATAATGTTAGAGACTTAGTATGGACTTTTGGTATGGTGGCGGGTATCTTCGAAATACTTTCTTTTACTATCAGCCTGACCTCATTTTTGAAGCAAGTATTTTCTAAAAGCATAAAACCAGTTTTATTCCCTCGAATAATCTTACAAACAGGAACCCATAAAACATTATGTAGATGACCGGTACTTTCCTTAGGCATTTTTCAATAAGGAAGAATAATTTAGTTTTTTCATAATTATTGCATAATAAATTAAGCAACACAATTAAATAACGCATTTTTATATTTAAAACGTTTGTAAAATATTGAGAATAATTGACAAAAGTAAAAATACCTAATAGATAAAAACAGTTTTAAAAAATATTCAAAATGTAGGAGTAGAAAATATTTTTTTAAATTTTACCTGACAGACTTTTAAGTTGACTTAATATGAACATCGATTACTATGTGTGGTAAAAGGGTTACAACACGAATGGAAAATGAAGGCAAAATCTTACCAAAAAATCGATTAATAATCATTGGTGGTGTAGTGTTAATAAATATACATAACTAAATTTTAATGAAATGTAAATATTCCATCCGAAATCTTTAGTTTTAACAGTATCTTGAGGTAGTTGTTGGCACTCACCCTCGGGGTTCTGAAGAAGATTCTCCTCAGGCGACGCTCGAGCTGGGTGTGGCCGAAGCACGTCTCCATTCACTGCAGACACACCCAAAAATAGAGTAAGAGTAAAACAAGGCCTTCAGGTGGCAGGTTACATATCCAATGAATATGCGCGAGTATATTTGGAAAATGTATATAAATGAGGAAAACTTTTAACTAAACACACACAAACAAAAATGAATCTTAATATTATTTTTGTTAAGGAAACACGTGAGCTGTGAGCTTTTTCTAAAAATTCGTAGATGTATTTATTATTATTATTATTATTATTATTATTATTATTATTATTATTATTATTATTATATGCGCTTTCGGCCATTTATGACCATGCTACACGTTAACTTCTGAAGCCCAGTCTTATTTTATCCCGGAGAGATTAATTTGTGTCATTATAGGGATCAGCTTTTTCGACGTGTTAAGACAAGGTTGTTAAACTATTATTTATTTTGTTATTATTATTATTATTATTATTATTATTATTATTATTATTATTATTATTATTATTGCTGTTGTTGATGTTGCTGGTCCTGTTGGAAATTCAAAGGTACGTTTTGTTGGTACATCACACTGGAGAATGGTGTGTTAATGGTGATGATTTTAAATTGACGAATATAATGAATGAATAATATAATGGGATTCTTGTTGGTTTGCCAACCTTGAGTGTCACATGGAATAAATATACGTGTTTCGCGAGATTGGAATCTTTACTGCATGCAATGCCCAGAGACTATCGCTGCAATTTACAGGTGCACTGGGGCGGAATAACCCAGTTTACCACAGGGAAAGTAGTGTAGTATAGTATGTGCCCTCTAGTATGTCTTGTTTATAAGTAGTATTTTTTTTAAACTTTTAGAAAGGAAGATAATATAATAATAATAATAATAATAATAATAATAATAATAATAATAATAATAATAATAATAATGCGAGAACTATCGTTAAGTAATGAAAAATGTATTATTTTCCTTTTCAAGCTTAAAACTAGAATACTTTCATTATCGTGTGCTTAGTACTCAGCTTCATAAAATCTCTTATTTTTTAGGGCAATAGATTTTTTTAAAAAAATGTATTATTTGGGAAAAGAAATAATGCACTACTAGTATGTACAGTACTGCAAAAATTATACAGTACTATTAGGGATATCATAGGTTTTCCTAATACCTGGTTACTGATGTTACGAGTATATCCATTCAGTTATTGATGACTAACATTAACCTTTACACATATAAAAGCATGTCATTAATTCTGAATATTCAATATGCAAGATTATACTCATAATACACATCTATTTTGGGCAGCCGAAGGAAAGTCACCTGAAACTTGGCGTGTGTTTAAAAATGGCGTCATAAAGTACAAAATAGAGTTTTGTGTTTACTCTAAAAGTCCTAATCTTTTATTTGATTTAAAAATTAAAATTAAAAATTAAAATTATTTGATAAAAAATTGAAATTATTTTCTTTCTAAATGTTCTTTTGAAATTAAAAATTGCTTCTCTTGTAGTGGGTGTCACTGATACAGAGTCGCCGACAAGCGTCTAATGTACGGAGTGAGAACAGCATAGAGACACATCGCCCCCCGCGTGACACTGAGAGTCTCCTCGCTCGAACCGGTCCGGGGCGCAGGTAGTCGCCGATGCTTTCGCTGCGAGCTGTGCGGCGGCTGCGGCGGGATCGGGCTCTCTGGCCAGGCGACTCGATGTTGCCTTCCGGGAACCGGATGCTCCCAGCGCGAGGCCTCGAGGAAGGCGGCGCTTGCTATCGTCTCCCCCTCCCCTCCCCCGTCCGTCTCTCTTCCTCGTCTCAGCGTACTTGTCTCCTCCACTTCCTCCCGGCCCGGCCCGGCCCCTCCCTCCCTCACTACTCGCGCCGCCATTAAAAAACATATGGTTGCGAAGTGAATCATTTCAGTTCCAGTTATGCCATTTCTAAGAACGGTGGTCGCGAGAGTTTCTGCCGAATAACACAAAGACTCCAGAATACGTAGCTCGCTCGTGTTTAATTTCTTCTCGTAATATTGAAAAGATGATTCTTGCATGATGCGATTTTTCATATTTGCCATGTTTTGACCGTTTCTCGATAAAGTAATTAGGACTTAACTTCAACTGGATTCCAAAATTCCAAAACATATTTTAGTGTATTATAAATACAGGTAGTAGTTTTAATAAGCTACGGTAACAAAATGTCCTATTTTCAAGGTTTCTCGAATTTTTTAGGCCTTGTTTCATAAGGGGCTTAGGCTACATTTCTTAGGCCTTTTTTAATAAAAATAATCATCGTCATTACTGTTATTATTTAAATCGTGCCATGAGACATTCTAATATTCCTCCTTTTTCCTAAACCGAGTGAAAGTTGTGAACTTGACATCTTTAATCATTTTAATCAATAATTATAGTTTGGAAATTTTACAAATGCTGATCTTGCTATTTTCATTAATTTTGTAAACTATTCTTCCCTTCCTCATGTAAGTGTTCTTAACATTTTTTTGAAAATTTCAGTTGTTTTATGAAGAAGTATCTTCCACACTAATTTTTAATAAAATTTGAAAATATAAGAAACACATTCTCCTTAGAGAATTATTCTTGGAAAAACAATAGAAAAACTATTCGTCATAAAATAAAACAGGTCAATAAACAAGCTGAGTTCTTACATTATAGTATGGAGAGAATGTTCCCCAAACGAATAATATACAAGTCCACCTTTTTAGTTTTTTGCGGTCGGTTGTAGAGCTCTTGACCTTCAAGTCAATTCCGCGAAGCGTATTAATGCCGAAGTCGTTCTCCGAGGGCAAGAGGGTTGGAATTTTTCTTTCATCAGATATTTGCAAAATCTTGTTCGGAGTCGCAATTTGAATCAAACGAACCAATTTGGACTTCTCAGATACGATAAATAATTTATAATGCATCACTGAACGTTTTTGTTCTGCTGCATAACATGCAACGCTAAAACGTTCGAAATAAATAATTCTCCTGACAGCGTGCGTACTTTTCATTGGAATCTTCATTTTGTAACGTCGGTGAGATCGTTTCGCCTGCCAGAATGGAAATCGTAGTCCGACTGCTCTGACTACTTCCAGGGGAATGCTGGAGCAGCACTCTAGAACACGGTTCACGGACCGCGCGAGAGATAACCCCCTCTCGTAGGGTCCATCCCGTTCATTTAGAAAATCTCCGACGGAAGCTTCTGATGGCTGCTTTTAGTTATGACTCCCACGAGGCACTCGTGTGTCACTCGGAATAATGAAAATAATGTTAATTATCACAATCATTATTGTAATAACTATAATTATTTTAATATTTTGATTGATCTTTATTATTGTTAAATAAAATAAATATTTACCTCTTGTAAGAACTCGCTGTCATGATATTTGAAGGTAAATATATACGAATAATATGTAGTAGATATAAATTTGGCTTCTCTCACTCAATCATATTGCAATCTTATTCAGGGATAAGTACCTATGTGACTGCATGTGTGTGTAGTAGACGCGGAATATGATTTCACAACTCCTACCAGAAAATGCCAGTAGATAATGGGCACAAATGGAGATAAAACATTGCACAGAATTCTCATGCTCTAGAAATAGCGTGCTCTAGAAATACAAAATAGAATTGATTATATTCAAAAGAAAATATCGCTTTTGTTTTATCAACGGCTTCCAGATCTCTCATTATCTAAGAACCTTAGAATCCACGTAATAACAGAGAAGACACAACTCAGTGGTCAAAGCTCTAATGTGCACGAATATATGAAAAATAATTACATCTGCAATCTGCGTAGAAAAATTAATTCAAATTGAAATCATTTGAAAAACAAACAAACAATTTTTTAGATAATACTGATTGAGCACCTTTCAAGAAGTACTCATTTTGCTCTAGTGTCCGCAAATACTAAAATTTGATAAAACTTCAGATATCGTATTAAAACGTGTTCTTTTTTGAATGAACTCAATCATTAATAATATTTTTGATGTAAATATTAAGAACACACGTGAGGTTAAAATTTGTATTTCTAGAAAATTTTGGCTCGTTTTATAGTTCCGACCAAGCTTCTCCCCCCTCCATATAAACTGCGTGTATAGTTCACGACTCAACACATCATATTTTCGAGGTTCCCTGAGTCATGATATCCACGTGTGTTACGGACCCCTACCCAATGGCCATCGTGTCGCGCTCAAATATTATTGTTTCCAGGTACGTTGAGTACTAAGGTCAATAGTCCCGTACTTCATACTACACCCCGGAAGGTGCCGGTGTTCCGTCCCCCGATCGAACCTGAGATCCAGGCCCAACATACATGTAGACTTGTGTTTATTTCCCCTCCAGGTATCTCTCTCACTGGGGCACCATCCCACGATTCTATGTGGGACAAACTCTGCAGTTACGACATGTGCAGTAGTACCGTTCTTGAAAATGTATAAGAAGAAGTGGAAAGGAGGAGACAGGGCTGAGGAAGGGGTCATCGCGCACGGTCCGTGACCCGTTTATTAGGGAACTTCTCCTGCACATCCCTTGCATCAATAGGAAAGAACACGAAAAAACTACCGATCAGAGCAATCATCCGCTTGAATTCTCTTCCAGACTTTGGTAGGATTTGCCCCACTTACGCGGGACAGAAAATCATTGGGTTCGCGTCTCGATCCGAGGCTTGCGTCGCGTCTCGATCCGGGCTCTGCGGCGAGGTCGCGTGCTGGGCGCGAGACAAGAGCAGAGCGAAGCGATGAGTGGATGCGCATAAAT